TGATGATCTCATTGGCTTACAATCCTGCTTCATCAATAGGAAAACTCTGCAGCAGGGGCTGTAATCACAATGCTGCAGCACATGAAGCAACACTATGGCACTTTCTGTAAATACACAGCAACAGATCACTGTTTAGCAATATAAAAGATTGTAAGCTCCAAGGAGCAGGGCCCTCCTAACCCTCTTGTATTGAACTGTATTGTTGCTGTATTGTCTTCCGTTATATTGTAAAGCGCTGAGCAAACTGTTGGCGCTATATAAATCCTGTATAATAATAATAATGAATTATTTGTTTCCACAGAGCTGCAAGGGGTGGCTGAATCAAGTCTCCTCCAATGAGAAGAGAATTATAAATCAGTTGACCAAATAAATTTTACCACATTTCCATTTCTATCTGTGGGATAGTGTATTTTCTGTGTCTAAGCCAGGGCCGTGGATAAGGGGGTACTGCCAGTCCTCCTGTACAGGGCCTGGACCAGCAGGGGGGCCCAGGCAGCTGGGTAAATTGGATGTGGGCAGGGAGGGTGATTGGCACAGTGTGGAGGGGGGGCAAGTACTGGAACCAATCCCCTGTATGGCTCTATTTGCAGCAGCTGAAAACTGGCTTCTTCTCCTCTCCCTTCTGCTGCATAGAGGGGATTGATTCCAGTCATTGCCCCCCAGCACGTCCATCACCCTCCATGTGCACCATACATTTCCCCCTGCTGCCCTGACCCCTATGTGTGTCCCCATCCCCACAGTGCTTCCGGCTTCCCTCCTTTCCTTCCCACCGGCATCTGCAAGCGCACAATAGAATCCTTCAGGATTGAGAGTGGGGGAAGGGTCTGGTAAATATGTCACATTTACCAGCCCCTTCCTTTCCTGAAAGAACACAATATGTTTACTGTGTTCATTCATAACTGAAGCCTAGTAAGGCTGACATTTTTTGTCAGGGATTGTATAGTTCCAGTCTCTAGGCGAACTCAGTCAATGTCCAGCAGGGTGATATATGACAAGTGCACCTATTTTCTGATTAAAATAATATTATATATATACACACACACACATATACAGTATATTTATATATTGTGACCTGGAGCAGGGGCAGAATGACCATTTGGAAACTCGGGCATTGCCCGAGGGCTCGGGGTCAGTAGGGGGCCCCATGATATGCCCCTGGTACCTTTTTCATAGGCTTTTTTGAGTTTGGGCAAGGGCACAGGGGCCCCATGATCCCCTATTGCCCGGGGGCCCCATGAGTTATCAGTCCGCCCCTGACCTGGAGGTTATTAGCGCTCATTGTAGATGCGTTTGTACAGTTGGTCCACGTCAGACAAGAACTATAGCTAAGGGTCTGGTTGCCAACTTTTATTAAGAAGAAAAAACAAAAGTTCATCACACATGGATTTCCCACACGTGTGTTCTTCAATGGAAAATGCTAAGCCACATGGTTTCTAAGGTTCACTCAGCCTCGGTTGCAGTACCTCACTGCACAGGCAAACATCTGGCCTCCAAACAAGGTTTTCCATCTCCTCTGGGTTAGCTTAATCTCTCAGAGACTTCAAGACTTCCCCCAGCCTCCTTGGTCCTGCTAGTCGCCTCACCTTTCTCGGTCTCCCAGACCCTCTCTTGGTCTCCCAGGCCTGCGTAACTGTCCCAGCATTCCAAGTTCTTTGGGCAAGAAGTCCCCCTCTCTGACAGATATAACCAGGTATCCTGACAGGGGTCTGTCTCCAAATGGCAGCAACTGCAACAATTGCACTGAACTATGCTCAAATCTAGCTTTTATCAGTTCTTCACACCTGTGCCTTCACACAGGCTGCAAGCAACTAGCAAAGCCTGGGCACCGGATTGAAGGTTCCATCCCACCCAAGACACTTTGGTACCTTCAAGTTCCTGGCCCCCATCTGGAACTACCAAATCTGGAGAAAATAAACATGCCAGAGATTCTCAAGCTGCACCTTTGAGAATCCAGTGTCCTTTTTACCTTCATAACCTAAATTCACTCAGTGGCAGGGCTTTGCACTGTGTGTGTGTGTGTGTGTGTGTGTGTGTGTGTGTGTGTGTGTGTATATATATATATATATATATATATATATATATATATATATATAAATATAGATAAGTTGTAATAGCTGCTTCACTGAGTCCATGCCAGTCCAAACTGTATTTAACAGCTTGTCAGCCCACTTTTATTAGGCAAACTCAAAGTTCACAAACAGGGGTGGACTGACAACTCATGGGGCTCACGGGAAATAGGGGATCATGGGGCCCGTGTCCTCGCCCACACTCAAACCACACCCAAAAAAGCCTGTGAAAGGTACCAGGGGCATCTCATGGGGCCCCCTACTGACCCCAGGCCCTCAGGCAGTGCCCGAGTTCCCAAATTGTCAGTCCGCCCCTGTTCACAAACACAGTTGCCCACTTAGGGAATCTTGACCATCACAACAGGTAACATAAAATTTCAAGCCACCTTGTTCTTTCTTCACCAGCACCGCTGCTCTTTACACTGATCCCTTAGACCATCTCACCCAGCTCTCCAAGCTCTCAGGGCTCTCCTGGCTCACTCACCCTATAGTCACAGCTCCAAGTTGTAGGGCCCACTCTTGGTCTCTTGATAGGGGTTTTCCTGACACCCCAGGCTCTCTCGCTCCTCTAAGACTTACAGATTCCCTCAGTCCCCTAGACTTGTTAAACTGCCTCAACTTTCTCAGCCCAATAGATATAGTGTCTCTTCTCCAGCAAGGAGTGCTATCTCTTGAGTACAGCACCTCTGTCCCCAAACAAGAACACACACCTTCAAATAGGAGCTCTGAGCTATGCCCAAGCCTATCATTATAAGGGCTGTGTGCACCTGCACTCACATTCTGCTGGTCTTTTGCATAACCTGGACACTGGGTTGAAGATTTCTTCCCTCCCAATACTCTGAAATCTCCAAACTCTGGAACTCAATCTGGGAAAACCAAAATCTTGAAAAAACAATTTTTTCTGCTCATAATCAATACTTTGGAGCACCACACTCTGCATACATGCGAAACTTATGTTCGTTTTCCAGCCATTTTCACAAGTGACAGGGACTCACCCTGTCACAATATATATTTACACACAAAGAAGAAATACAAAAAAAGGGTAGGTGATAATTTCACTGCCAACATCCCTAACTTAACTGAAACAATAGTACAAACCCCCCTTTATGGGACTTTTAAGCCAGAAATTACAATTGTGTATATTTCAATAGGCTAGTATGCCAAGTTTATTACAAAAGATTTATAGAATATAAAAATACATTACAAACACAAAATACTGTATCAATGTTATTACATAAACACAGCTAAAATTATTAAAACAGCATGTGTCCATAATATATGAAAAATTGTAGTGTGCCTGTCATGGCTTAAAATTTTGTAGAGACATCAGGACAAAACCCAATGTGTTTCGTAAGGGTATAAAGCAAGAGTATGCCATGTCTAGGAAGCAGTAGTAATAAATATAATAATATATCACATTATCCAGATAGTACCATAGTCCATATTATATAATAGATCAACAAAAAAACATATACAGTAAATAGTTGAATCCAGATGGTTTCAAGAGAAGGGCTGCAATCTCACTGTTCATCCATCATGAACCCAGATGAAGATAGATACATCCCTGGGGATAATGCACATCCACTGGGGCTACCTGGGATATGACAGAGAGGGTGAGCTAACAGGGATCCACATCAAACACATGTATGAAACATGAAAGTACTTGAAAAAGTCAAAAAGGGTATGTAAAAGATCCAAATACCCATAGGGGAATACAACACACTCACGCACACACATTTGAAACCAATTAAATTCTAACATAAGCGCACATGAGGTTGATTTACTAAAGCTGGAGAGTTCAAAATCTGGTGCAGCTCTGCATAGAAACCAATCAGCTTCCAGTTTTTTTTGTCAAAGCTTAATTGAACAAGCTGAAGTTAGCAGCTGATTGGCTACAATAAACACCTGCAACACAATGTAGCAGTGAAATGGGAATAAAGCTTTCCTAAACTGACACACATGTTCACTTTACCATTCCACTATGTAACAAAAGTTGCACTTTTGTTATTTGCTTTTAATCAGATGTTTTTAATCAGAAGACGCTGACAGTTATATTTTGAGGTAAAAATCAGGTGCAGCACAAAGTAAACGTCATGATAATTTACAGGAAAATGCATTTAGAGCCCTTTGCGTCTGAGAGAAACATGATAATAGGTTAGGATAGATTACAAAAGTTAAAAGATGCAGAAAAGAGGCATCACTTAAATGAAAAAAGAAATGAATAAGAACTTTGAGACTTAAGGGGCTAAAAACAAGAAAAGACTTATGGACTCAAGTATTATTTATCATCAGATATATTATGGAGTTGATTTACTAAAACTGGGAAGTCCATAATCTGCTGTAGCTGTGCATGATAGCCAATTACCTTCTTAGGCCCCTGTCCGTTTTTTCAGGCAGACTCAACCAAACCCTCCATTCTCCTCTATAGCAGCTGTATGTAAATGGACTTGTGTCCGTTTACATTCGGCTACCTCTGATTTCATAAGACAGCCAGTCTATTTACATCCAACTGCCCATATAGGAGAATGGGCTGTGTCCATGTCTGCATAAGCAGAGTGATACGGACCTGTCATCCAGCAGCAATGGATCCCCCTGCCAAATCCGGTCTGTGTTTAAGGGGCCTAATTACAGCTTGTTCAATTAGGTTTTGACAAAAAAAAAAAGATTTTTTGGAAACTGACTGGTGTTGATGCAGAGCTGCATCAGATTTTGTACTCCCCAGTTTTAGTAAATCGACTCCAATGCATGTATCCCTTTGACATGCTATATCATGCTTTATGATTACAATATTCAAAAAGTACACTATATTGCCAAAAGTATTGGGACATCCCTCCAAATCATTGGATTCAGGTGTTCCAATCATCTCCATGGCCACAGGTATATAAAATCAAGCACCTGGGCATGCAGACTGCTTCTACAAACATTTGTGAAAGAACGGGTCGCTGTCAGGAGCTTAGTGAATTCAAGCGTGGTACGGTGATAGATTGCCACCTGTGCAATAAGTCCATCCATGAAATTTCCTTGCAAGTGCAATGCAAAGTGTCAAATGCAATGGTGTAAAGCATGCCATCACTGGACTCTAGAGCAATGGAGATGTGTTCTCAGGAGTGACGATCATGCTTCTCTGGCAATCCGATGGACTTGTCTGGGTTTTGTGGTTGCCAAGAGAACGGTACTTGCCTGACTGCATTGTGCCAAGTGTAAAGTTTGGTGGAGGAGGGATTATGGTGCGGGGCTGTTTTTCAGGGGTTGGGCTTGGCCCCTTAGGAACTGGAACAGTGAAGGGAGCTCTTAAGGTGTCAGCATACCAAGACATTTTGGACAATTTCATGCTCCCAACTTTGTGGGAACAGTTTGAAGGTGGCCCCTTCCTGTTCCACATGACTGTGCACCAGTGCACAAAGCAAGGTCCTTAAAGACATGAATGAGTGAGTTTGGGGTGGAGGAACTTGACTGGTCTGCACAGAGTCCTGACCTCAACCCGACAGAACACCTTTGGGATGGAATATAATGGAGCCTGCGAGCCAGGCCTTCTCATCCGACATTAGTGCCTGACCTCACAAATGCGCTTCTGAAAGAATGGTCAAACATTCCCATAGACACACTCCTAAACCTTGTGGACAGCCTTCCCATAAGAGTTGAAGCTGTTATAGCTGCAAAGGGTGTGCCAACTCAATATTGAACCCTACAGAATAAGACTGGGATGCCATTAAAGTTCATGTGTGTGAAAAGCCAGACGTTCCAATACTTTTAGCAATACAGTGTATATCAAGCCAAATATCTTTTTCATGTAAGTGCTTGTCTGTGCCCGGGGAGCCACACATACCGCATACAGCCTACCATACAAGTGTATGGCTGTCGGAGATTAGAGGCTCTCCGATAACCTTCCCCTCCTAACCTCCCTAATGTTCCGTAACCGCTGAGCTGCCGAAGACTTTCTGAGAGAGGCGGGGGATTTCACTGGCGGCGGTTCAGTACATGGGAACCGAAGCGCGACTTATTTCCGCTGGAACGGAGCTGCATGAGGTGATCCAGGAGGGGAGTATTTTGCCAGCGACGAGGAGAGCGGAGTAACCACGTGGGCTGCCGCGGGGGATTTTTTGTGGCCGTCTATAACTGGGGGAAAAAATGCTGACACTTTTGAAAAAAAAAACCTGCATTTTTCAGTTTCAGGACCCCAGCTATGAAACAATAAAAGGAAAAAAATTTTGTCATACTAGGAAACCCCATTAAGAATGTATTCTCAAACAACCCAGAAAGCAAAAAACCCAATGACGCAGCTTCACTGAAGTGGGTTTAGTGTGAAAGTTAATCTGCGTACATGATTACTATTTGGCTACTGCTATAGCCCATTTGATAAGCACCTTGAGAAGTAAGGAGGGGGTTTTTTTTCTAAGATTAGAGAAGAAGAAGAAAGAAAGAAGTAATAGCTTATCTATAGACTAAAGACTTAAAAAAAACCTTTACAGGTGACTTTGAAAGGGAAAAATAGCAGTGGAAATATGCTAAGAATTCCCAACAAACTGGGGGGATAAAAAAAATAATAACATGCCACAGGGGAAATTGACTCCTATAAGATCCAGCTAAGTACATGATCAGTGAAAAAGCTTAGATAATAGCACAAGCCTCTGGGGAGCATTAACAATAGAACAAATAATTGAAGGGATTAACATCTGGGAGTGATCAACTGGACTTGTGCTGTTTTGCTAATACTGAATAAAAAAAGGAAACTGGCGGAGCATGTTTAAAAAACTTGGAAAAATCTATAAAGCAAGATGATGGGGCTGGCGGTATTCTTTAAAAGAAATGGGAAGAAGAACCATCTGCTAATTAGGGTGGAATACATACCGAGGCTCTCCCTCTCAGTCAAATATCCTCCCAAATTATCCCCAAAAAATAGCAGGGAATCTCTGGTGGATACCGGGACAAAAAGACTGATTTATCAGATGGAGGATCAAGAAAATAGCGCCATTAGAATATGAAGAGTCGCTAAGTAGGGAAAGCGCCAAGCGCCCCTTAAAGGAGGACCAGAAATGCAAAATCACGTATATATACACTCCATATTATTATAGACCTGGTGCGCTCGCTACAGACGTATAAATTGCGAAGCGCTTTATAAATGGATAGGATTCAATTCAACAAGGGCAGGCCCAGCCTAAATCAAGAGATATAATTGTCCAATTTCATAACTATGCGAGAGATAGGATGAGATATGGAAGAAGATCAAGGGAAGATCTAAATATAAATATGGAGGGAAAAATATTCAAATTTTTGCAGATATAGCCCTGGGGACATTGAGAAAAAAGGACATTGAAACCATTGTTGGAACTGTTTGAAAAGACAAAATGTGCGTATAGATGGGGTAATCAGCATGTTTAATCGGCTGGAGAGATGGTTGTAACTGCATTTTCACAGAAACCCTGAAAGATATGAAAGAATGCAATTGTACTTTTGAATGCAAGAATAGAGATCCCGGAATGCAAGTATAGGAATGTTCTTTTAGAATCATATTATGTTGGGAAAAGAGAGAATGGCAGCTAATTAGGAGAGAAAACAAGAGCAGATTAAATAGTTCGCTCAGCGGGGAGGAGGGGGGGGAAGGTGGAGCAGCCACCATGGACAGAACCGAACTCCCAGGTAGGAATCAAAAGTGGGAACCTTTTCCAAATATTGATCCATAGGAGAAACAAAAAGCCTAAATGGGGGGGGGGGAGGAGGGAGGAGTATCCGAGGGAGGGGGGGTACAAGGGGCGGGAGGGAGGTGGGGGGGGGATTTACAGGGGGGGATGGGGGGGAAAAAAAGGAGGGGGGGAGGTTCAGGGGAGGGACGAGAAATTGTCAAGCATGTTGGAGGGACAGGGGATAGCTTTTTTAAAATCTGACATCTTGTATGAAAGGAGATCTTTTTGGGAAGCAAAAGAGGAAGGGAAAGGGTAAAAAAAGTGACTTCTCAAATATGCAGATTATGGAGGAAGACGCTTGGTAAACCTTAATGTAAATGGATTAAATTGCCCAGGTAAAAGATTTAGACTATATAGGGAACTACAAAATAGAGAGGCCTCCCATTTGTTTTTTTGCAGGAAAAACCTAGATTATTGTCAAAAAAAATGATTAAGCTAAGCTCTTAGACAACACCCGACATGGTATTATGCAGATTCCTCCAGTTAAGAGAGCTAAAGGGGTAGCTATAGGATTTGCAAAAAAAACATTAGGTTTGAACTAGAAGATAGAAAGACGGACCCGGAGGGGAGGTTTCTGTTCTTGAAAGGTAAACTACAAGACGTAGAATGTACGCTTGTAAACATATATTGCCCTAATAGAAAGCCAGAGAAGTTTTTGAAAGAAGTTATGAGAAGATTGATGGACTTTGGAAAGGGATACCTAATAGTGGCGGGAGACTTTAACATTTGTATGGATCCACAAATAGATACAACATCCAGAGTAGTACAGAGAGGGGAAAACAGGTCCATGGGATTATTGACTAAAGGGTGATGAAAAGAGTGTCAATTGGTGGATAGCTGGAGAGTTGTTAACATGAGAGATAGAGATTACACCTTTTTCTCTAGTGTACAATAGGACATACTCTAGATTGGATTATATTATGGTAGATCATCGACTCGTTGAGATTTGGTTAAAGTTAAAATAGAAGCAATAACTTTCTCGGACCATGCTCCTGTAGTATCGGAATTAAGATGGGGAGGGAAGGTATCAGGAGGCTTATCATGGAGATTGAATGAGACACTCCTCATGGATCAGATACTGACCGGAAGATCAGAGAGGAAATAGAGAGGTTCTTTGAGGAAAATGAAACAGGGGATATATATCACTAGCTACAGTGTGGGAGGCACATAAAGTATATATAAGAGGTATCCTTATTGCGACTGGGGCCAAAGAAAAAAAAAAAGGAAAAGAACGAGAGAAGATCAGTGAGCTTTTGAAGGAAATAGCTGAGATGGAACGCCTACATAAACACTATTATAAGGAAAGAGATAGAGCAAAAGGGTGATAAAAAAAGGGAAGAACTAGAGAAAGTAATGGAGGAGGAAAAAATGAGAAACTTTTAATAAGATCAGTGGAGAAGAGAAAGATATAGATGGGGAGATAGATCAGGAAAAAATACTTGATGAGAGCCTTGAGGAGAAAGAAGAACAGGAACTACATAGATAAAATAAAAAACTCCAAGGGAGAGTTAGTCCATTCAACCAAAGACCATTGCAAAGGTATTTAAAGATTACTATAGTAAATTATACAATATTGCCCCCAAGGATGATATAAATAAAGATAAAGTAATAAATATTGAAAAAAAAGAAGAGATTATTTAAGGAAGGCAGGATTACCAAAATTAAATGCAGAATTATTAAAACTCCTTAGAATCTGATATCACACAAGAAGAACTACAAATAAATTAAAAAAAAGCTTTAAGACGGGAAATGCAAGCCCAGGTAACGGGTTTACTCTGAGGGTTTATAAAAAATATGTGATTTACTGATAACTAAGTTAAAAGAGCTCCATATGGAGGGCGTTGGGGGGAGAGATGGAGAGAAAGACAGGAATCCCTTCTGGCACAGGTGGTTTTGATACATAAGGAAGGTAAAGACATCACCAACTGTTCAAGTTATAGACCAATATCATTAGTTAAACGTAGATACGAAGTTGTATGCAAAAGTATTGGCGAATAGTTAGGAGATCTGATGCCAGTCTTATATGGACTGGATACATGGAGATCAGGGGGGTTTTGTTATTGAGGAAGAGAGGGTCGAGATAATGGGTTGAGGTCCCTGATTGCTGTTACAGAAAAGTAAATTGGAAAAAAAACCAGTAGTGCTGCCCTCGATTATGCGGGATAAGGCGTTCGACAGGGTTTAACTGGAGTTTTATGATAGACACTCTGGAGATCTTGGGATTGCTAGTAGTAGGATGAGAAAAGTGGATTGGAAAGTTGTATTGAAGGACCGTCCGCGATGGTAATGGTAAACGGAGAGAGATCAGAGACCTTTCTATGTCAAATGGAACCAGGGTCAGGGATCCCACTTTCCCCACTGTTGTTTGTTCTATCATTAGAACCCCTGCTATCAACAATTAGGAAAAATATAGATATAAGGGGAATAAATGTTGCAAAGACAAACATTAAGATAGCTCGCTTTTGCGACATGATTTATTATTCTATGTTGGCAACCCGAGAATAACACTTCCTAACTTAATGAAAACACTGAAAAGAATATGGGGAAATGTCAAATCTAAAAATCAACCCGAGCAAAACAGAGATATTAAATATAAATCTGGGGGGGGGGGGGGGGGGGGGGGGGGGGGGGGGGGGGGTCCAATGAGTGGAAAAAGAAAATATACAGAGAGGAGTTTCCCTTTATAGGAA